TGAGACTAGGATTGTCCAACTATAGCTTGAGACTAGGATTGTCCAACTATAGTTGGACTATAGTCAGGCCTGAGACTAGGAGTAGGAGTAGGATTGTCCAACTATAGCCTGAGACTAGGACCCTCAAACTGAGGGATACTCTAGACCAAAGGTGAAGTCTTAAACTTCCAAATGCTGCTCGGAACAGTCCGAAACAGAATCCAAAAATGACCAAGGGACGACTCTAGACAATTATCAGCAACAAATTAGTCTAAAACTTGAGCTCCCTGGCACAAAATTCCAAAAAGTCTCGCCCCAAGAGACCGGACGACTACTCAGCGTGAGGTCGCAGATCAAAAAGGCTGATTCTTCCTTTAGATTTCGGAAGAAGGCTTTCACTTGTCAAACTTCTAATTTTGACATTGAAGAAAATTATAAAAAAAAGCGTGTTCAATTTCACTCCAAGAATACGAACTGAAAGTTTGGTTGTATAAAAATGACTGGTGAATATTGAAAAATGCCTATAGAACATATATCAAAAACTAGAACAGGTCTAAAGAAAACGCCGAGACAAAACAGCTGTTCAATGACATGATGGAAATGAAAAATCAAAGAGTAAACAACAATTTATCATAACCTCAGATTATTGATTGGATTTGCAAACAGATATGATGATGGTACTAACTCCTTTTCCTAAGATTCTAATCAATAACAGCGGGCCCTGCCGTACTGAATCAAACCTTCCTAGATCAATTAACCAAACTTGTAAACCTGAACCAAAAAAACTTCTAGTAGAAGGCAGTACTCAAGGTAACAAAATCTGGGCACAGAAAAGATAGTTGTTTCTTCATTTATTCCTTTATAGTTCTATACGGAATCATATCTACTAAAGCAAAACAAGGTAGCTTATTAGCCAAGAAATTGAAAACGTTACAGTGTGTTAATTAAATTGCCGCAAAAACTAATCCGGGCCGTTCGATCAGGTGGCCCCGTTTATACGTATAAAAACAGCTGGTTACTGGGAGCGCGGCGTGACCTATTCCAACGTAATTGCCGTGGTGCAGCGGGGCCGTTGTGAGATGGGCTCGGACGGATAGTCCAGCGAGTTTAGTTTAGTCAGTCGCTTAAATTATTGTCTAAGAAATTTAGGAATAATAACGACAGAAATTTTTCCGTCGGGATCAAATTATAAAATGATAAGTAATTTGATCTGACGATTGTAATAACTATTGAACTAAAAAAAAAAAAAAATATTTTAAAAGGACCGACATATTTTGCGCCAGTGCCACGGCCCCTTGGCCCCTTAGGGCCAGCCGCCACTGCCAATTATTATATCTGAAATTCCTGAAGAGAGGAAATCTCATGTCCTCACAAATATAACTGAAAGTACTTTCTGGGGAAGACTTTGTTCAAAGATATTCCAGCTTTTCCCGATTACAGCGGTCACTAGCTGTAATCTTCAGGTTTATGAAAAATATAAAAACCATAAAAGAAAATAGGGATTTTAGCCCAATCTCTGTTCAAGAACTTGAATTCTCTCTAGAGTTTATTATCAAAGAAACTCAAAAAATATCCTTTAAAAAAGAGATTTCTGAACTAACTTCAAATAAACAAGTGACCAATAAGCAGTTTCTTTATTTAAAATCGTTTCTTGACAAGTTTGGTCTTCTAAGGGTTGGAGGTCGATTAGACCATGCCAATATTTCATATCAACAAAAACACCTTCTTATTCTTCCTTCAAGGAACATTATTACTAATCTCGTTCTCACATATGAGCATAGGCGTTTGGGACACGCCGGAGCTCAAACTACATTGAGTAATGTTCGTCTTCGGTTCTGGCCACTTAATGGCCTGAGAGACATAAAAAGGATCATAAGAAATTGCACGATCTGTTTCAGATTTAATAATCATGCCGCCCAACAAATAATGTCCAGTCTTCCTCGCGATAAGGTAGACATGTGCAGACCCTTTTATAAAGTCGGTGTCGATTTCGGTGGTCCGTTTCTCATCAAGTCATCTGGTCTACGAAAATCTTCTCAAATTAAAGCATACATTGCTGTCTTCGTATGTATGGTTACTAAAGCCATACACATTGAAGTTGTGACAGGTCTTTCCACGGAGCCATTTCTTTTGACACTCAAGCGGTTCACCTCCAGAAGAGGAAATCCAAAAACCATCTTTAGCGATAATGCCACCAACTTCTGTGGAGCCAGAAATTACTTGAGAGATATCTACATCTTTTTCCAGAAACAAGAAAACTCTTCTGCAATAAATGAATTTTTGTCCCAAAATCAGACTACCTGGCAATTTATTCCTCCAAGATCTTCCCATTGGGGAGGCCTGTGGGAATCCGCTATAAAAAGCGCAAAATACCACATGAGAAGACTCATTGGTAACGCTAATCTAACTCTCGAAGAATTCTCTACTGTATTATGCCAGATTGAGGCCATCCTCAATTCAAGGCCTTTAAGTCCCATCTCCAACGATGCCAGTGATTTTTCATGTCTAACTCCTGGGCATTTTCTGATAGGAGAACCATTGACTGCCTATCCTGAAAGAGACGTTACTTCTTTGCCTCAAAACCGATTATCTTTTTATCAGAGAATTTCACAAATACAACAAACTTTCTGGAAGCGTTGGTCTGTGGAATATCTCAATAGGCTTCAAAACAGGCCTAAATGGTTACGAGAAAAAATCAACTTGAAGGAAAACGATCTGGTTTTACTCAAGGACGATGACGTGCCTCCTTTAAAATGGCCGCTTGCACGAGTTTTGGAAGCTATCGCTGGCAAAGACGGGAAAGTTCGTGTGGCAAAAATAAAAACCTTGCATGGAACATTCACCAGGCCAATTACAAAATTGTGTCTTCTGCCAAATCAAAACTCCTGTAATTATTAGTTCAATACGCCTTATTTTTGTTTATTTTTTCTTTTTTCTTTTCTTATTCATGCTCGTTTAAATCCTTAGTTTCTTTAACTTATTTGGTTGAAGCTGAAGCTTCAACGCGGGGGAGAATGTTGGAGATTCTTCATATTCCTCTAGAAAATTATTTTATTTCATATTTACAAAATCAAAAAGCAAGAATATATTGTTTAGGTCAACTATTATTTGGGCCTCAAGTAAAATAGCAAGTTTTTATGCCTTCTTTTGTAAAGCTTTTAAAGTAAACAACCCCACCGCCGGTCGCCCTGTTGCCGCAGGCTATAGATACCAAACGGCAATATAAGAGATAAAATCTAAAATATTTTTGAGATTAGTCGACGAGTAAACTCCGATAAGGAAAGGGCTTGCTTCTTGTTTTCAATAGAAAATTTCTTTTCTTCATTGAACACGCGCTAAGTGCGTTTTCTAATTATTTCTCTAGTTTTCCACAAAGTAGATTCTTGCCGGCAGTTCGCGGACATCTATCATTCTTGGAAAAACAACGTTCCATAGTTCTGTAGTGAATTTGATATGGCAACGAATATTTTTTGTACAGTGTGATTAATGGTATTGAATTATTAAAACCAGTGTATATTGTATGCGTGCCAGTCAAACTGCTCGACAATTATTGTACATTTCGCTATTGAATAAACTTATTGGTTAAATGTTTTTTGCCCAATAGGAGTGTTTTACTTTAACCAGTTTAACCCAGGCTCACAGGATATACTTTCTTCAACCAAAAACTTTTAAAATATACAGTCCACTCCCGCCACACATAACTATTATTTATTCTAGCACATGCAGCCCTTATCCTTTCTTTGAATTCTTCTAATCTCTCTGGTATTTTTGTAAACTCCATAATGAAAATCACTGTACTCTTATTCATTTAACAATTATTATAAAATGAATAAATAATAAAGAAATGTTTGACATGTTGCACAGCTGTCAATCTAATTTTTTTCAAGGCATTCTTTGATGAAATTTATTTATATTCCATATCACTGATGCCAACCTGAATTTGTAAAATTACAATAATATGTACGTACGTAATTAGTTTTTAAGTAATTATTTTAATTATTGTTCACAATTAGATAATTTTAAGTGTCATTCAAAATTATTTGGTTAATTTTGTTCTAAATAATAAAGGAAAATAGTACTTGTTAGACCGCCTTTGTTATAAATGACGAAATCCACGGCCTAATCAAGGTAAAATTTTGCTAAAAATCACTGATGATCACTTTTTCGAGCAGAAACGTCGGCCAATCATACTTAATCGTTGAAAGAAGAATAAAGTGGGCTTTCTAAAAATGACATAAAAAATCCAGGTCCGTATTTGAAAAAATGAAGTTGAAGATGGTAGTTCGATCACGAAACGTCAAATTTGAAAATGTTGTAAAGCGATAAAAATTATAAAACTTTCAAATTTAAAATGTATCTCGAAAATCAATAGTTTTCGAAATAATTGATGAAATAGTTTTAGGCGTTTCTTAGAAATCACCCTGTATTTCCTAAACTAAAAGGAATTTGGCAACACTGTAAATGAATGTTGAATGGGCTTAAAAAAAGGCAACTTTTTTCTAGTTTAACCGACTTCGTATCTTTTACCGTTTCGGAGATACCAATAGTGGTATCACTTAAAACGGACACCCTGTAGAATTGACTAGTTGAAATAAATATTTATTACATAATTAAAATCATCCATTCCAAGATTCAAATTATATACCAAAAATATATTTTCATATATGTAAAAGTTAGTGTCTGTAGAGGGCGCTAGGCGCGCTGCTATTGCGCATACGTATGCGTCGAGTGACGCACGCGCATGCGTACGCCATGCATCACTTAAACAAGATGCGCCTAAAAGCGCGCCGGAAATCTTTGTTGAAGATGGTGTAGATGACCGGGTTGAGAGCCGAGTTCATGTAACTGAAAATAATTTTCCTACCTATATTATCTATTACATAGTAAAGTCCGCCACATGGAAGATAAAGGACCGAAAAAATGCGTGCCCCCATAGTCAACTTGTTTCATCTCCTTCTCCAAGTAGTTCAGGCGTCATCCTTTATCTTCCGTGTGGCGGACTTTCCATAAAAACAAACTACTCACCCCAACCAAAAGGCCGTTGAAAACGCCACTGGCGGTATCGTAAAAGCCAGCCGCAAAATGTACATGAAAAAAAACGGCAACCAGCAAGCGATAAACGATCCCATAATCAACCCTAGTATCAGAGTGGCCCTTTTCTCCTTTTTCCGCGCCACCCTTCGCTTTTCCCTTTCGGGGTCGCGAGGGGGGCGCGGAGTTTCTTTTGCCACTTTCACCACGCTTTTGGCCTTTTTTCGGCCAAAGTGGCACATGCGTAGTCTGGAGGGTTTGACTGCAGCGTTTGCGCACTGCGGCACCACGACGCCGCTGTCGGAGCTGCTCGGGTCGAATTCGCTGACCATGTCCGATTCCATTATGGAAGGTTGACGGGGACGTGGCGACAGTACGACTACTTGTTGCTGAAGGTCGCCGTTGACCACCTACAGAAATCAAAAATTGATGAACTTAGTATACAGGGTGATAAAAAAAAATTCTGCCATTTTGAAGCCTATTTACTACTACACAAAATGGCCGCATTATTTTTGATACACGTCAATCAAGAGCCAGTGATAATCATAATTTGAATTGAAATTTGAAGCCTAGCAGTTCATTTAGATCCAGACTCGAATTTGAAGCGTATTTATTCAGGTTTTCTCTGAAATACTATACAAAATGGCCGCATTATTTTTGATCTGTCAATCAATAGTCAAAAGCCAGTTATAATTAGAATTTGAAACTGATGTAGCTCAAAAACTAAACTGCTGAACAAATGAAGCGAAACGAGATTAACTTTAACTTCAAATATCACGCGAACTAAAAAAGATAAAAATGAGCGGTTTGCGAAAATTAGTTTTTAAATTACGCAAACCACTCATTGGTATCTTCTTTACTTATCGCGTAATATTGGAATTCAAAGTTAAACTAAAAATTCGCTCGTTCCGCTTCATTTGTCCAGCAGTTTATTTTATACCCAGATTTAGTATTAACGCCATCTTGAAGCCCATTTCTTTAGGTTTTTTTTGAAATACTACACAAAATGGCCGCATTATTTTTGATCTGGCAATCAAAAGCCAGTGATAATCAAAATTTGAATTGAAATTTAGAGCCTTCGTAGCCCAAAAACTATTGTCACGATATCGTCCGCCAGGCTGTCAAGAATCGATGGTGAAAATACTAGAATCTAGCGAATTATTCTACTTTTATCTGGAAAATTAGATTATCGTGTGCATTCTAGGTTTTACAGGAAGAGATTTAGGGATATATAAGAAGGCCAGCATTGGTTTGTAAGTTAAGTTTTAGTTCGACTGTGATACGATTTAAATAGTGATTGTAGAGAGTTTAATTGTTGAGTTTGTTAATAAAGTAATTAGTGTCAGAGTATTTTGTTAAGTGGAATAAATTATTGCTGTGTTAATTGGACTTTGATTTTTGGAATAAACGAAACGAACCACGAACCCAAGATTTTTGTCAGCAGGCAACCCAAAGCCGCGACACTATTTTATATCCAGACTGCCAGACCTTGAAATTTTGACGTCATTCTGAAGCCCATTCATTCAGGTTTTCTTTGAAACAAAATAACCACATTATTCTTGATCTGCTAATCAAGAGCCAGTAATAATCAAAATTTGAATGGAAATTTGAAGTTTACATAACTCAACAACTAAATTAAATTTTAGTAGGAAATAATAGAAATATACAGGGTGTTCCATTGGGAACCAAATCAATCTATATATTATTGTCACAACCCCTATACATTTCGTACTGGGACGTCACAACAGGAGCATAACCTGGGGGCGTAGGTGAGGTTCAGGTAGAGAGAAACTCGCTTGTTATAGGTACAATAAAATTTTGTATTGATAAAATAAAATAATATTACCCTTTGAATAATAACATGTCTCTTCTACGGAGGACGGAGGGACGTACTACTTAGGCCTCTCTGTACACTTAGCGTGACTAAAGACTGAAGTTGGGTTTGTGACAGGTCCAGAAGGGCGTTTCCCAATAAAGGTAGTTTGCATTGAACCTAGTCTGTTACGTTCAATATTCCCAGAAGAGCGTTTCCCAATGAAGATAGTTTGCACTGAGTTCTTATTCTTGAAACTGGGGGACAGCGTTCCCAGGAGAACCAGTGTTCCGTCTATCTCAATGATATACAACTGATAATATAAGTAACAAAGACGGAACACTCGCACCACTTTCAAGAATAAGGAACCAGGGAGGAGACTTAACTAAAGGGGCTTTTCCCAATTGAGGTAGGTACTGTGCACTCAAGATGATACACACCTACAGGATTGCTTATCAGCCTCGTTTTTGGTTATCGCCGCCATATTGGTGTGTCACCATTTCAGACGTCGTCAGCTGTTTAAACAGCCTACGTCAAAGCAGCAAATAACGTGCTGCCTACGTCGCAACTGGTGATTTTACGAGGGGGGGATTTGTTCCACAAAGTCCTTATGACGATAGGCTATCCTGTAGTAGCAGTGTGTATTATTCTTGCTTTGCACTAGCCGTGTGCCGGTAATAGATTCCGGCGCGGTATTTATAGTAAATTAATGTTGACTTATCGACACACTTTAATACAATTGATGTACAGAGTGGTATTTACTCAAGTAGTTGACAGTATGAAAAACTATATGCAGAAAATTTTTGAAAATTGACAGTATATAATGTCAATGGGGGCAAACCTTTAGTTCTTTTCACGTGGCTCCGGTTTAACTAACCGGGTTACAAAACGGTTAGAGAAATGACATACCGTTTTCTAACCCGGTTACAAAGTGACGTGATGGATACCTTCCACTCGAATTTGAGCGGTATGTTGCGGTTTGTTAAACCGGAGCCACATGAAAAGGGTTTTTGAATATAAAACTACAGGAAGGAGCGTTTTCTATCTGTCACAACAGACAACGCAGGGACGGAAACGGCCATATTGAGCCTACAAGTATGGACTCATCATTTGTTTTGGTGGTTCGCTGTGTCCTCATTCAAGTTGATGTTTAATGGATTTTAGCGGTTTTAAGTGATAATAAGTACTGGAACTAGTGAGAAAAGAGTGAGTCATAATATCTATATATATAAATGTGAAATTCACTCACTCACTGACTGACTGACTGATTAAACACGAAATCTCGAAAACTACTAAACCAATCGAGATGAAAATTTGCAAACAGGTAGATAATAGGTTGGAGATGCTCACTAAGAAATAATATCAATATGGCCTTAAGCAATCGCCTTAAATAACCAAAAATAAGAAACGGTGTGGTGCGGGAGTGCGGGGAAAAAAGGATAAACAGAAATAGACGACGTGTCAGCTGTCAAATTCAGAAATATGACAAGCAGAATCAAATTCCATTTGCAGTATAAGTGCAAAAAAAATGTGTTTTTGTCGTTTTATTTTCATGCTTTCACGAGAAACGATTCGGAACCGATTCGGAACAAATTCCACCGGTCCCAGGCTAAGCTAACTTCAAGTTTGAGACATGACATTTGCAATTCGTTCACGTATTCGACAGTCTGGAGCAAAGTTCTGGAGTTTTTGTTCGGTTCCAAAACTGTTCGCGATAAAATAGGAACCTGAACCCATTCACAAGTTGGGTTCGGGTTGCTTACTCCGAGTTACTCCGATCGCACTCCAGCCATAATCTGATAAGCTAAAAGGTAATACCCGAACGGCTGAAGTGCGAACGGAATCACTCGGAGTGCACGGAGTGAGCGAGCCGAACCCATCTATAACTGGGCATGCGCTCTACGTACGATAATCCTCAATTAGTTCCGGACTGGTTCGGAATCGGTTCAAAATATGATCCGCGAACAAAGCTGATAGCAGCGAGTGGTACTTCAAAAAAATTTAACGTCAGCTGTCAAAAAATAGTTTTCATATTCTGTAGCCACAAAGCAGAACAAAAAATGTGGTTTACAGAGAGGTGTTGCAAAAATAAGAGTTAGATGACCATATGTCTGACGCAACTATCCCCTTAGCTCTTTGAAAGAAGATTACCTAATGCTACCTACACCCTACACTTACAAAATTTGTATAGGGCGTGCGAAGCCGCGGGCAACAGCTAGTTGACAAAAATATTTAAATAAATATACGCCACTGTCAAACCGGAAATACTAGTCGGCCATATGCAACCTCCACATATTTTGGTCGCGCAAATTCGCAGTTATGCTCCTTCCTGTAGTTTTATATTCAAAGGGGCAAGCCGGTTAAAATATTTTCAAGATGGTGGCATTTCCGATTATACCGGAAGCATACGTTAACTTGTTTATTTTGAATAAGACACCCTGTATGTGATTGCACATTTAGATTCTAAGTAAAATTTGGAGAAGATTTTAAAGTCTGTTTTTTTTTAAAGAAAAAGAAAACCTAGGAGTTCAATACCAGCCAACATAGACAGATTTATCCCTAAGTGGAACTACTTAAACGACGAAATTTTATCGAACAACGAACCTGTTAGAAAAAAGTAACAGGCTCGATGTTCTCTCTTTTCAGTTAGCACTAAGGATGGTCGGGACTTTTGTAAATACTATACTACTTTATCAAATATTTGCTTTTTTTGGTTTTGATCGAATTTTGTCGCAATTTAATAATTTTGCGGTTTAAAAGGCATCCTACTTTGTCTCCATCTTTGTCTTACCCATTTGGGGTTTTTGCAAAAGTATACTACTTTATTGTTGTCTTTGTCTTGCTCACATATAATCAACAAGCGAGCTTTGTAATTTGTCATTTTCATTGAAAATAAACTAAAAATTTAAGAAATTTATTGTTTTATAATCATTATTAATTAATTATTCAACAGGTTTTAATTAAATTTAATTGTTATTAATATCATGTGGCAACGTCGCTTTTAATCGGCCATTTTACAGTGACGTGTTTACGTTTTCGTCCATTTTTTCTTCGAATTTTCCACTTTTCCAGGACTTTTTAATAAAAAAAACCGGTTCAACATACGAGGCTTTGATTTTTTTAAATTTTCTAGCAGAAATTTCCAGTTTTTAAAGCCATAATTAGCAAAATCCCATTTAAAATTCTTTTTTTGAAAATTTTTATATGGCAACACCGCCTTGTAAAGTTTTTCCTTGAATTTTCCGATTTTCCAAGGCTTCTTAAGTCAGAAAAACCGATTTGAAATACGAGGCTTTAAATTTCCTACATTTTGTGCCAAAAATTTCCAGTTTTCCAATAGGGTAAGTAAGAAAAACTTTAGTTTTATCAAGTAGGCTTTGGAATGTTGTTTTTTTTTTAGATTTTCCATTTTTCCAGGGTTTTTCTGTCGGAAAAACTGGTTTAAAGTACGAGGCTTTAAGTTTGCTTCATTTTTCTATCAAAAACTTTCACTATTAAACCTAAATTTTATCCTACCTTATCTCCTTCTTTGTCTTACACACTATCAAACAGACCTTGAAATGTCATTTTCATTAAATTTTGTTAACAATAGGTTTT